AAGAGTTAAAAAAAACTAATTAAAAGATAAGTAGATGGGGATTTAATCTTTTCAACTTAAAATCCCTTAGCTTGGATCCTTCATTAGAGAAGCTTCATAAAAACAAGCTGTAAACATTCTCAATAATTAAACATGAATATATGATCCATGATAAAACCTGGCCCTCAGGCCATATGTTTAAATATACAAAATTACATGTGCACTTGATTCCCTCTTGTTGTTTTAATAGCTCCATCTTCCAGTGAAATGCACTTGTGTAATTATCTTATTGCTTTACCTCTACCATGGATCATATTAAAAACTGCTTCTTCCCATAAACTGTGAAGTATTAATTGATAAGCCACAGGGAACTTACACTATAACATGTCCTTACCAATTAATAATGATGTTAGCTGGGTTTATGAGGACTGAATTATTCATCAGAATCTTTCATACAATGTCACTGCAAGTTAAGACTTAAGAGATGTTAGAGCACCTACAGGATAATGATTTATTTATAAATTTTACTTATAATCTCACTTGTAAATCAGTGATCACCTCAATTTAGTTCCTGAACTTTTCATACTCGATAATGACAATTCACTCATAAGCCCCATCAATTTTGGACACAGAAGAATATTCATGAACCCATGAAATGGTCTAAATTAACCTTCCAATTTGTGAGGTAAGGAGGAGAAACTATTTTGGGAATAAAAATGTGGGTCTTAGTTCTACCTTTTTATTACATGGGGTCCTTCCTCTCCACAGTTTCTCTATCTGTGGATTTAACCCACCAAAGATAAAACATTTTTGAAAAAAAAAATTGTACCTGTACTAAAGACAGATAAAGTTATTATTCCTTAATAACAACACAGTGTAACAACTATTTACATGGTATTTACATTGTATAGGTAGATGACTTAAAGTATAGGGGAGGATTTAAATCAGTTATCTGCAAGTACTAATACATTTTATACAAAGGATTTTGATCTGTGAGGATTTTGATATCTGTGTATGGGGGGTTGTCCTGGAACCAATCTTCCATGGATATTGGGGGATAACTGTAATTAATACTTTGGCAAGATACTTTACCTTTCTAGGATCATTTCTGTAAATTCTAAAATGAGGGCTTGGCTTAGTGGAGGGTTAAAATTTCTTCCAGTTATAAGATTTCATTTGGGTTCTACAATGTGTGTTCAAAAAGTACAAAGATAATAGCTAGTCTATTTTGATGCAGGCTAGGAATAAAAACCAAAAAATTATGATTTGCAATGTTCAGATAAGTAACATATGGTCCTCTCCCTACACACAAGCCTTTGGTTTTCTTCCTATCAGGCCTGGCAGATGAAATTTTGATCATTTAAAACAGCTGCAGTTTGTGATTAGAACAATGATCAACTGGAGGGGTAAGCTGACCTGGAGGGGACCCGCAGACTTGGCTCCCTGCACCTAGGCCAAAGAGCAGTCGGTGCTTGGTCCAAAGCAAGAACTGTTAATCACTGCCCACTTGGGATGTCTTCCAGCTAATCAGTTACTGAGGTATGTATCATTTTGTATGTGTTATTCTGTACTTTGCTAAAAGTAGAATGAACTGTTAATTAAAATGTTTTGTCAGAAGTCTCATTATAACAGGATTTGATATAGCATAGTCCTTAAACACAATGGTGTGACTAAACCCCATACTCCATGCTTCTTTTCTGCTTTCTAAATGGAAAGGGGTGGTGATTATTTAGCATCCAGGTCATGGACTACTAATATCCTTAATGCTGACTTTCAATCATCTTCAAGAATTCTAACTTCACTTTATTTCATTTTTATTTAATAAGGACGAGAGAGTCAGTTGGAACCAAGACTAGCTTTCACAGGATTTCTTCTCTTTCCCAAGTTCCTTCAGTTCTTGATGCTAAGTGAGCAGGTGGTTAGAAAGGGAGATGATTCAGGACTGGGGTTGTGGCTCAGGGGTAGAACGTTCGCCTAGCATGGTGAGGCACCAGGTTTGATCCTCAGCACCACATAAAAATAAAGGTTATAAAAAATTTTTTAAAAAAGGGAGATGAGTCAAAGGTGAATGAAGGATGTTCATTTCATTTCGAGGGTTTTCTTATTTTTCCACTTTCACAATCAGATTTTTGGAAGACACCAGGCAGTCCTAGAATCCTCCTCCAGGCCTGAGGTGAGTTAATGCATAGTCTTGAGCTTGCTCAGAGGGTAGGGTGAGGTATTTGAGGTGCTTGTGGAGTGTGATGGTATGCACACATGCCCTGACAAGCAGGAGTGAGGGCTGCCAGCTTCCTTAACCACGCTTCCCCACCCTAGCTGACATGGGACTGGCTTACACTGTCCAGAAAGACAAGTAAAATACACACTTAGCTGAAAATGGGGTGACAATTTCAAGTGAGGTGAAAGAAGGGAGCTGGAGGAAGCAGAGAGTAATAAAGGTAGTGTCATTCTTGACTTTGGGGTAAGTGTTTGTTTTTTCTGTGTGAGGGGAATCATGTAAATGTTAAACATTTGAGTTAGCATGCTACCACCACAGTGGATTTTATGTCATAGTGAAATCATGTCTGAGAGCTGTCCAACGAGTTACTGCTATTTAAAAAAAAAAAAATCTACCATTCATAGAAAAAAAAATAGGTACTGGCAAAATGCTGCCCTCTCAAATATACTGACTTCATACAGAATTGAATATTTACAACCTGAACTGGAACACAAGGGTGTGATTCAGAAATCACTCAACAGATTGGAAAATTCTGATGTTAGAAATTGTTCTTTTCAGGGTCATTTAATAAAATCTAACCCTGGTTAAATAACAGTTGGCGCTGAACTTTACTGCTTATGCCGCCACATGTAGGCTGAAGACACACATGCTCTGTGTGGTTGGTCATTTTGCTTTTAACAAAGTGCTCAGCCATAACGGAACCACACTCTTCATACAATAGTTATTGCAACCCTACCAAGCAGTTAGTCACCCTTACTGTAGATATTTAAGGGCCTCGCAGATGAAACTGTATTCAGAGAAACAAGGGTGAGTTGAGATGGAGACACAGTGCTTGTGCTCTGAAGTCCCTGGAAAGCACTTGATCCCCATGACATGGATGGCCAAAGGCTTCTGACCTGATTAAAAATGAGGAGTCATATAAGAAATGGCTTTTATTAGAAAAAACATGTAGTGTACACGTGGCTAATTTCTATTATCGATATACTGTTGGCTATTTTGTCATTAAAATCTGATACAGGGTTTAAACTTCTTTAGAAGTTAGTGGCATTTCTTCCTATTCTGTCATGTGACCTCAGGAGGCGTTATCTTCATGTGATAGATGCCTTCTTTTCTTTTCATAATTACAGTTTATCAGTAGTTTAGCACTGGCACAAAACACAGAGGGAATTCCTTAGGTAGTGCTGAATGTGTAAGACGTCACTCTTCCAACCCCAGAATTGGGCACAGGTATGCCACTTGTAGAGTTTTAAAATCCCCTATTACCACTCAAGTCCCACATTATTATTACCTAGTAGTAGTTAAATTAATGCAATAATCTGTAACCTAACAAAACCTCTGAATGAAGTTTCTTTCTTCTCCTTTTTTCCTGTTAGATGTGCAATTCCAAGCAAATCTGCAGTGTGCAGTATTGATTTCCAGTCTCCATTCAAACTCCCTCGAGTCTGTGCTATTAAACTGAGACAACCACATCAAGATAAAGTCTGTCATAGGATTCCCTGAAGCACAGAATGAGGAGGAGACTGAGCAAACACGACCCGGGAAGGCACCAGTTGAACCAAGACAACTCTGTAAGACAAAAATGTGCAGTTTTAAGCATTCATGTAGCACTAGCAGATCACCACTTATATGGTGGGAGGAATCTGCTATGCATTCAAAAGCACTTATAATAAATGTACCCTGGAAGGCTTGGAAACTGGCTTTCGATAAACAGTGATGATCTGGAGACTCAGTGATGTGTGTAATATAGGGCTTTCATGGGGAATATTTTAAATCAATATTAGTAATAACTTTTCATCAATCTATCCACCTTGACTTGGGTTGTAAATCAATCCACTCCAAAGAAAAAAAATGATTGCCTTTAAGTGTTAGTTTGTTAATTTTTAAAATAGTTTTAGTTGTTAAAGAACTTTATTTTATTTATTTACATGTGGTGATGAGAATTGAACCCAGTGCCTCACACATGCTAGGTGAGTGCTCTACCACTGAGCCACAACCCCAGCCCTGTTAATTGTTTTTTAAGTACCCCCTATCACCATCACTCTTGTCCTTGTTTAGAAATGTCTGAATTAAAAAGACAAACAGGAAAATCACCTGAATTTCAAGATAACACTTTTATATTTTGGGGGTTTCTGCAGAGAAATGCATATAGAAATATGTATAGAAATACACGTTTATGAACCTTTGCAAGTAACCAGAAAAAAAAGAAATATGTTTCCCCTGTTCATTTTCATGTATTCCTATATGTATTTCTCTGCAGAAATATTAAGTATTAATCACTGAAAAATAGATTAGGAAATATATGGAAACATAAAAACTCAAAAAAGAAAAGATCAATCATAGTTCTCTCCCTAGAGAGACCACTGTGAGCATTTTGGTTTATTTCTTTCTAGTTGTCTCTTCTACTAGCATGAATGGTTATTATGTATGATGTCAATTATTGGAAAACCTACAGAAGTCATTTAAACAGGCAATTCTACCATTACCCGACTTAATGGTATCAAGGATCTGCTTCCTCAAAAATGCTCTTAGGAATTCAGGACTAACAGAACAATTTGGGACCCCCTCGCCTAACACATTCCGCCCAACTATGGCTGCCCCGGCTGCTTCCAAGAGCTCCAGGGACCCTTGAGTATCAGCATTTGTTCAGCTTCTGCTACCCCAACACCACATGCCCATCAGTCACAAGGCTTTGAAGTGAGCAGCTCCTTGGTGGTAAAGAGATTATTGTTGGGGACACTTCTCTAGATTAATATCCATTTATCATATCCAATGAAAATGAATAGGAGAAACATATTTCTTTTTCTTTTCTTTCTTTCTTTCTTTTTTTTTTTGGTCACTTGCATACGTTTATCTTTTGCTTTGTACTTCTACCGAATGCTAACACTCTTAATCTTCAAAATCATCCTAAAGATTTCCACACTGCTGCTTTAGTTTAATCCATAATTCATATGGCCTAAAAGAGCAATTTATGCTCAGGAATGGAAATCAGAAAACCAACCAATAAAGGGTAGCAATAGTTCCCCCCCCCCAGCAAAAGCATCCATCTCATCTCTCAGTTACTAAATTAAGAAAAGAAAAAAAAGTTGGGCAAGTTATTCTATAGTGTGAAACAAGATGTATATTTTAATGGCATTTTTATACAAAGCTGTTTCCTGTGCTTTACTTGGATTGCATATAACCTAAATACTCTGAAAAGCTTTGACCTCTGGGATCTTGTCTTTATTCTGATATTCCTTGAAATGACACACTAGACCTTTGTTTGCTTTTATATTAACCATATAACTTGGATTTCTGATGATATAGTAAAAAAATGAAAAGAAAAAAAGCAGTAAAAGCATATTATCTGTATTCATAGTAAGAAAGGACACTGATTTCAAGGCTGCATTTTAAGCAAAAATTCAAAGAAAGTATGATATTAACACCGTGGTCTATGATCGCTAAATCTTAGCAATCATAATTTATGGAAGCCAAAGCAACACAAAGATGGCAACCATCAACTTGTCGTTGCTCTTCTTTCATTGAGGAATTTGTCAAACTGCCAAAGCAGTCCGTTTATTTCATCAGAGTTGTAAAATTACCCCTTCTACCTGGGTCAGATGAAATCTCTAAAATGCCTCATAATTGCTCTTTAATATCACAGTTTGTTGATTGGTTTCTACTGTGTGCTCCTCTCTGAAAGGCAAATCCACCTTTCGGTAAATCACTTGTCTCAAACAACTGCAAGTGTTCTTTGATTACTTGCCTTTTCAGAAAGCAGAAGGTCAGAGACAGGGAAACAGCTACATTTTCCCCCTGAAAACCATTTATAGAAACCACAGTTTACGTGTTCTAATAAGCAGGAAATGACTTGCTTAAAAATTTAATTTGGCTTAACATTTGCAGAGTCAATCACTGTCCTTTCTGAGCTAATGTCACAGGACATAATTGAATCAACAGACTCCTGCTCCACTGAAGTGCTCCTGTCCCCCATTTTGTCTGGGAGCAGCTTACTGGCATTCCCTCCCTCTGCTGCTCCCTGAAGGAAAGCCAAATCCACACCCAAAGGCAGGAACACACAACTCATCCCAGCCTTTGTTGGTTCCCTGTCATCCACCATACCACAGTTGGCCCCCTCTTGGTCAATCAGCAGTTAGGCACCACCTGTCCCTCAGTGCGGCGGTGGACTCTGCTAGTGGTGGTGCTTGGTAGGGACGGAACTCATTAAGATTTTGCTCATCTTCTTACCTCTTCCTTCTAGAAGCACTGTCACACTCTTCATCTTGTCTTCCCTCAGTGAGGTCACACTTTCCACTTAGACCACCTGCAAGTGCTTGGTTTCCAGTTACCACCCTCCTTTTCTTTCATGATGACTTAACAAAAATATCTCCATTTAAACCCAGGGTGAGCAGTCAGCTGACCTCTATATTCCAGCTTAAAAGCCTGCTTTCTTGGTGCCAATGAATTACTCACTTGTTCTTACCACCTCCACACTGCACCACTGTACTTCTTGGACATAAAATTACTTCACACTACACCACATCTGTTGAACCTGACCTTTGTTCTCCCGGTAACCATTAGACAATGTCTCCCACCTCAGCCAGGCCCCTAAGTCTTTTAGGTAATGGTGCAACCTCAAAATCAAAGTAAGCCACTTCAAAATCTTTATATTTTTAGACAGAAATTGATGCAAAGCTTATAAAAAAATACCAGATAACACAAACCACAGAATATAAAATAGAATACATTTCAGAGCACATAAAGGACATAACAGCATTTGCAAATTGATTTTGTATATGAAGTTATTAGAAAAAAGCATCACTGTGCTGTCTCAACTCACTGAGATTCTCAAAGCAAACATTGTAGGAAGCAACTCAGGTTTACAAATATGTTGATATTAGGGATGAAGATGAAGTAACTTTTTTTTTTTTTTTGAAAGTGACCTTCAAAAATCCAAGTCAGAAAAACTCTAGGAAACTTCTGACATGGATTCAGATACCCAAAGGAGAACTGAAATAGAATGTGCAGATACTGGGACTTGGGGCTCCAAATAAACCAGTGACTTTGGTATAGGAGCCTAAGCCTGAGAAACTATTGCCCTCCATGACAGCAATGACCCTAATCTGCAACAAGTCGCCAGTGGAAACTACCTTGCTAAGTGAGGCATTCAAATGGATCATTTTGGGGATAGCTGCACAGTCCTGAAAAATTATCTGATACAGTCACCCCAGATAGCACTCCGTGGGTGGGGAAAAAATCCTAGTCAGGAAGCTTAGTAGTACCTTGAGAAGTGACCAAAAGCACTACATATTTTTATGAATAAAAAAATCAGGACTTCTTCCCAGGCATGGTGTTGTGCACCTGTAGTCCCACAGTACTCAGGAGGCTGAGGTAGGAGGACTGCTTGGGCCTAGGAGATTGAAATAGTCTGGGCAACATAGTGAGACCCTGTCTCTTAAAACTACAAGAACAAAACAAAACCCCAAGACCTTCTTAAAAGAAAAGAAAGAAAAAAACAAAAACAAAACAACCAGGCCTTGTAATCATGTAATTAATACTTGAATTTTTATTTATAACTACTGGGTGAGTTGCTCAAGTTTTAAAATTGCTGAATTATGACATATGAATACTGTCTCAATTGGAAAGAAATTCAGTTTATCATATGAAAATGTTTAGTGTACTAGGCTGCAGAACTAGAATTTATTTTAAGGAAACAGTTTTACAGAATTTTCAGATTTGCTATTTGTATATTACTATATCTCATTCCATAAAGAATGGGGGCCTGTGCTGCAGGAATTTTAGGACAGGATCAATTAATCATATGTAAAAAGAATTTCAAGAGTGATTTCATGGTTCCAACAACTTTGCCTTAGAAATGTTGATATCTTTGTGTGTATTCTTCTAAAAAATTTTTTATTTGTACATGGACATAATACCTTTATTTATTTATCTTTATGTGGTGCTGAAGATTGAACCCAGTGCTTCATCCACGCTAAGTGAGTTCTCTACCATTGACCACAACCCCAGTCCCTCTTTGTGTATATTCTTATACAGACCTACAAATATATACACAAGAGCACTTCTTTAAAACAGAAGCCTAGATATTTAAATTCCTAACATCAACCAACTAATCATCTAGAAGGAAACAAAACAAACACTTGGCGAGTGCCAGCTATTCCTTGGACATACAGGCTCTTTCATACAAATCATCTCATCAACCATCAAAAATACCAAAGTTTACTGAGACACCCCTGTGTCCCAGAAATTATATTGGTGTATTAAAATTACAATTTCAAATTTCATGTGGTCACAATAATCAGAGTTTAGGCAGAAATCTTTTAATGCCTGTTCAGGTATGTATAAGACCATGTGACGAGAAAGCACCTAAAAGGAGGGAAGACTTTTTTTTTTTAATCCCAGCCAGATAAATCCCTGATTGTATTGTAAGATAAGAATTAGTTAAAATGGTGTTTCTTCAGTTACCTAGCAAAGAAACAAAAATATATGCCTGTAGCATTTGGCCATTGTGAATTTGCAAAATGAGGAGTGGACAATAATTAATAATAGTTACAGTTAAGTTGTGCCAGATATCAGTCTCTGTTGTACAAATCAAAAGCTATAGCTGGACCTAGGAGAGTGACAGATACTCTACTGACTTAGTGAAATGCTCAGGGATGCACGGAGTTTTTCTGCAGTCAGACAGTGCTATGATTTGAGTGTGCTAAAGATTCATGCATAGGAATCTTGGTCCCATGTGGTGATATTAACGTGGGTCCTTTAAGAAGTGGGTCCCAGTGGGAGGTTATTACTGCCCTTCCTCTCTCTAGCTGGCTATATTGCCATATGATTTCACCCTCTTTCATATGCTCCCTGCCACTGTGATACCACATGCCATGCGGTCTTCACTAGAGTTGATCTGATGCAGTCTCCAAAAATGTGAGTTAAATAAACTTCTTTTCTTTCTAAAGTACCCAGTCTCAGGTATTTTGTTATAGCAACAGAAAACTAATATAAATATTTTAGAATAGTTGTCATTATATTGGTGTTTTCTCTGCCTTAGATTAATGAATATGTGTTTTTTGTACATTGGAGATAACAAGCAAGATTTACCAGGGAATATCATTGTCTGACATCTACTGTTGTTTGTAAATACTGTAAGGACAATACTCTATTTCTAGCTGATTGGGAAAACCATGTCTACTAGGCCATTTAGCAAACCTGTGCCCATCAGCTAGAAAACTGTTTCTATTGTGCAAGGGGACTTCATAGTCATCTCTGATGTTTTGCCAGGCAAAGAGAAGCAATAAACCTCTTCATTTCCAGGGTGACACAAGTGAACTAGATTAAAACTTATACGTAATAATTGTCATAAGAGTCTGTTTAGAAAGTGAATTGGAAGCAAAGATCATCCAATACCTGGTGATGCCATTTTTCCTTACTGGAGACATATTTCCAGGACAATAAAAAGAATGGATTCTGTCTGTATTATCACTCTCCTTCACTGGACACCTAACCTGCATCAGGTTTAGCAGAGTTAAGACCTACTTTATCTGCACTACTGACTTACAGGGGCAATCTAGTTTGTTGTTAATTATATTATGATTCTATCATTTGGATGTTTTTTGCATTTAGCAGAGAGTGTTATCCCTGAAGTTGTCCAAAACCCAGGAAGATCTGTTTCATTGCTTTGAAAGTTTTAAAAATTTATTGTCTAGTCAAGGAGGTTAACATAGTTATTATTTTAATTATAAGCCTGTCACAAAGTTCTTTATAAACAACGTGGCCTCTTGGAGTGTCATATTTTAAAGCACTTCTTATATTGTGCAACCTCTTATTCATCCTTATGGCTTTAAACTACATACACCCTCTTGACATTAATTTATACTCACCACTAGTCCTCAATAAGAAGCTGAATATTAGAGTTATCTATCTGTCCAGGGGGTAAGTTGGGAAGAGATTTTTAAAAATACAAATGCTCAGTGTTCATCAGGTTAATTCTGAAACTCTGGGGGTAAGGATAAGGGTGCATGTAGGCTACAATACATTTCAAGAAACATAATTGTGGATTTTGTTTTTATTGGCATGTGAATACTTACATAATTTGTTTTAGTGAGCATTCTCCATATAAAGTTCCTATATTAATGCCATGAACCTCTACAATAACACATCACGATAGCAAATAATCAAATTTCTTACCTGTATGATAAAATGTGAGAAAAAATAAAAGTACTCCCATGAACATATTACTTAAAAAAGTGACGACTCCACAAGTAATTCCTTCTGGAACTGGGTAGACAGTTTCCACAAAAAGCTCAAAAAATATAGGTACACTGCTATTCAAGAACACTCCCAGGAGAATACAGGAGGCATACAATGTCACTGAAATAAAAACACAAACATTTGAGTTCCGTAGCAGCAGCAATGAGTCAGAGCAGACAGATCTTCTGAGTGTTCTCTTTCCTAAGTACCAACTCTGGAATCCCATCTCTCTTCAGTGGTAGTTGATAATGCTGGACAAAGTATCTTACATCTATCAGCTCTTGGCTCAGATTTTCTGGAATAAGTTTGGGAATGTTTTGTTGCTGAATTATTACCAGTTTATTTGCTTTACCTTTCTGGTGGCTTATTCCACAGCACAAAAACAATATGCCACTGTAAAATAATTAAAAGAACTCTCCTCTGCCATACTAAATCTACTCATTTTATAATTTTAAAGATAGCTTAATATCTAAGAGTAACTGTAAGAAACATTAAATATAACTGAAAATTATGCATTTAAAGAGACTGGTTCATAATAGCTTTCAAATACAAAATAAACATCATTCAGTATGCAATTCCTAGAGAAATGCTTACAATAGGATTAGTTCTCAATTTTGGAAAGAGTTTTGTTTCCATGATTTCTTTTTAACTAAGGAACTCTTTCATCTAGAAAAACATAAATTTATAGCAATCAAGATTCCAGATCAGCTCCCCAAGTCCATTCACACAATTCTACAATGAAATCTTTTTGATAAAGTATGTTATTCTTAATATTTAGAGAGGAGCAGCTCATTCTAAAAAATTTCTTCCTTGCTAATGACTATCTACAAACTTTCACTAATTTGAAGGTGAAACCAGACTCAATGAGGGAAACTGATTCTATTTAGAAAACTAAAACTGACACCTATTTCCTAACAAAGATATCATACTAGCTGATTAAAAAAGAGTAGAATTTATTCTAAGCTTAAGGTTATAAGAAAAATATTTTTAAGAAAAGTATTTGTTAAGAAAAAGATCCCCCTCTCCACTACCTTCTCCTCTCTCTCTTTGGGGTACTAGGGATACGTTAGCCCAGAGGCACTTTACCACTGAGCCAATCTCCTGCCAGTTTTTAGTTTCGTGAGACTGGGTCTTGCTAAGTTGCCGAGGCTTGCTTTAACCTTTCGATCCTCCTGCCTCAACCTCCCTGAGGATCACAGGCATTTGTCATGGCACCCAGTTAGAAAAATGTGCTTTTATAGGGACTGCAAGAGGTAAGGGAGTGCCATTAAATCTGTTATGTACTAGGTTAATGGAGCACATCAAATCCCCTGAACTTACTATTACTGATTATAATCATTAATAGTCAGTCCATGACATTGTCAAAGGGGTAAAAAAAACAGTACCCATTGATTTCTAACAGAATTCCTCTAACCTAGCTGCTGTATCCCTCTCCAATTACACGTGTGTCTTTATTTCCAAGACTATGAAATATTTAGTACATTCTAATAATGTAAATAAATGGTAATTACTTTGACTTCCTTTTATTCCTTGAAATAGCAGTCATGAAAATAGAAAATAAAAGAATGATTTAATGAAAAAAGAACATACTGCTGGGTAATACAGTGACCAAATTATTCACAGAATTACATGGGAAGCACTGGATAGTTATATAAATACCATTTAAAACATGACATAATTTTGAAGACACTCTTAAAAACAAAGCACAACCTACCATCTTGTGATCACTATATATTTGCTAGACATGGATCACACAAGTCAATGTACTCTACTAACACGCGACTCATTAGTATACATTTGGAAATCTAGGGATAAAATATCACTGATGGCTTTTATAGAGTGCTGCTGCCAAAACACTTTACAAAAGTATATTGATCAGTCAGTGGTAATCAGGCCAGAGAGGACTACTGACCAAATATAGTTGAGCCTAGGAGTTGAAAACAAGCAAAATATTCAAATAGAAGACAAGAAAAATCAAGCTTTTAGGAACCAGTAAGTGCTATTTCTGAGTATAGATTCATGAACCACTGATGGAATATGCTGTTTTGATAATCCATTCTATGCTATTTTGTGTTATTATTTCTGAAGGAACTGTACCCTACATGTAATTGTAATCAGGCAAATTAAAATGTAATAATTAAAAAAAATCACAATCTATATATAATAGAATTATATATGGTAAAAGAAAGAATGAAAATATAATGGTACAGCATAGTGAAAGGGGATTATTGGTATAGGGATTTGAAAAAAGAGATTTGATTTTGCTGCTTTTTGTCAAGCTTGGTACAAAAAAAAAAAAAAAAAAAATGAGACCTGGGATGTGCGAGAAGGTAGAGGCTGGTGAAGCTGAGGCCTTGCCTGGACCCCTCA